GGTGAGTCCCTAATCCATAGAATGCAACACCCAGACATGAACACCATAGTCAAGATGGTGAACCCCACTTCCCCCAAAAATTTGGGTGCACTTTTCTCCTGAACTACTATGCCAAAACCAGAGTCAAAATGGTCCAATGTTTTCATTCTGAAGATAACTTTGCTACAGTTCACTGACATATTCGGCCACTAACACTACCAGAGCAATATCACTGTCAGAGCAGAGAGGTATCTTTGTGTACTCTGAGTGATTCATTCATAGATGAGGCCAACAAGAACTGAACATATTTCCTTGGTGTAAATTTCCGCTCTCAGTTCAGCAGCCAAGAATACTCCCCAAAGCACCTGCTCTGTCTCTTTATTACAGCAGTTACCAATCCAATTCAGACAACTGTATAGCGAGACATCATTAGTATAAATATAGTGCATGATAATCATTTTAATGAACTTTTAATATCAAAAGCTAACTAGGTTTTTATCCCTGTTATTTGACATTTTTCAGGGAAAGGATCAGCTGAATGATGCAACTGAGGTACTGGGGGAAAAATAATCAAGCATTTAAGAGTGCCCGTTCTCTGCAATTCGTACACAGAAGGCTATTTTCCCTGCAAGTTTAGCATAAACACCAAGGATGCTCTATGTAAGTCACTGTTAGCCATATAGTGCAGCTGAATTACATACCGACATACAAATTCCTACTTTCTCTCAGAAGCTGAGACATCAGTTAACAACAGGAAACTAAATAATAACTGAGGGTGCAGAAGATTTTGATACAGATTCACAGAAGTTTTAGGGCTGGAAGGGACCTGGTGAGATCATCGGGTTCAGGCCCCCTGCTCTGGGCAGGAGAGACTGCTGAGGTCAAATAACCCCAGCCAGGCGTGTGTCCAGTCTCCTTTTGAAGATCTCCAGGGTAGGTGCCTGCACCACCCCTGCTGGGAGTCTACTCCAGAGTCTGGTCACATGAACTGTGAAGAAGTTTCTCCTTATATCCAGTCTGAAACCTTCTTCTAGGAGTTTATGACTGTTGCTCCTGGTTTTCCCCTGAGGCACTTTGGTGAACAGTTGTTAGCCTAGCCCCTGATGCTCACCCCTGATATAAGCTGCCACCAAATCCCACTGAAGCCTTCTCTTTTCCCACTGTCCTTGTATGGCTTGCTCTTCAGGCCTCTAATCATACGAGTGGCTCTTCTCTGGACTCTCTCAAGCTCTCTCCACATCGTCTTGAAGATACCTACCTTCACAGGAGATCAAGTCTGAACTCAACAGTTAAATAGTTGTCTAAATACGACAAGAAAGACAAAGCCACTGTAGTGATGGATACTTGATTCATCTCCCCTAAGATCCTCACCTCTGCAGTTCCATAAAGTCTTTACTGATTCCTCTTCAGTATCTACAGGAGATCACAGGGAGAGCCCAGGTAGTGCCACAGGCTTAGGTGCAACACTATGCTGATAATAGCCAGGGTGGAAACAGATGTTGCCTTCTGTTGCTTTTGTGCCACCATAAGACATTTTACAATAAAATGTCTTATGGTGGCACATAGCCCAAGCAAACAGATAACCATGCCCCTCATGGCACCAAAACGAGTGGCCACAACAAAGGTGATATCAACTTATGCCACTCTTCAGTAATTGATGTCTGCTTACTTTATGATGTGAGAGCATGGGTAGCCCAGAGCTGCCCAGGCTCCCCAGCCATCCTGGGCAGGGGCTCCAGGGGCCCAATCCTGTGCACCTTGGGAATTCCTGGGCAGGATCGGGCCCTTCAAGCCCTGGGAGCGCCTGTTCAGCTTTCCCTGCTTCCTGAGATGTGTCCCCAGGATCTCCTGGGCATGCCTTAGTAAGTAGAGAAAGTGAGAGTTTCCCCACTTAACAAGATGCATCCTAGGAAATCTGGGGTGTACCTTGGTAAATAGGGAAAGCCAGGCAGGTGATCCCAGGTCTTGAGAGGCCCAATTCTGCTTGGGAATTTCTAGAGCACGAAGAACTGGGCCCCTCAAACCCTGGGAGAACCCATCACCCATTGTACTGCAACATCTATGGACAGGACAATGGGTGATGTGTGTTTCACCCAATGAAGCTGATCAGCTATGTCAGGACACATCTGCTTTACTTGACAAAGTGTATTTCCACCCTCAAGTCCACATATCATTCTGAACTTATGCAACTGCTGACAGTGCTAAAATATATATAAAAAGATTAGCTTTTTGATGAAGAGAGTTTTTGTGCAAACTGAACCCAGGTAAGATTAAAGTGATGCTGACCAAAAGGTAGCCAAAATATGATCTCTACCTTCCACTTAACGTACTCAGCTTACATTTAAATTGCTACAAAGCCTCAGGGTTTTCTCTGATCCTTAGCAAAGCTGGATAACCAGTGAATACTGATGTCTAAAAAATACCACTTTTCATCTCTAGCTCACTAGGAAACATTATCTTGTCCTCTCAGACAAGGACCTGATCACATTGATCCATGCATTTATCATCTCCAGAGCGAGTCGTGCAATTAACTACATCTGAAACTCACTGGAAGACAACACAAAAGCTCCAAGCAGCACAACATGCAGCAGCCTGTCTTTGCCAGGACATCAGGCATCTGATCTTATCTTTTCAATGGCTCCCTCATAGCTGCCAAGACCAGCATAAAATATTGGTCTTAACCTTCTAAACAAATAATACATTTGTTTTCTTTCAGAAAATTTAACTCCACACAGATTCTATCTTTAGAATCAAGCAAGTTTTTTTACTTCAAGGCTTAGAAACAATAAATTAAATGGGAGGAAAATGTTATTTAAAGTGAATTTTAGACACTCTTCTCTCTCTCTCCATACTATTTCTATGAATTTATTATACCTCTGCAATATGTAATTTACTATGACTGTACTAACACTCCAATTATAGACCCATCTCTTCAAGGACTTCACAGCAAAAAAATACCTTTGGACTCAGATTAGCAAAGAAGTCGTCTTATTTGGACTTATTTGGACGTATATGACAGTTAACACTCAAGGCTGAGTATCAGGTGGGATCAGAAAAATGCATTCCTTGTAGCACCACTATGTTGTAAAACATAGGCCCTGATTCAGCAGCACTTAAGGATGCATGTCCTTATAAAAGCCAATGGGACTTCAGCATATTCAGATAGGAATATGCCACTTGTCAAATGCCATTGATTTCACCATGAATTTGGCATTAGCAGTGCTTTAAAGCAGTGGAGGCCAACCTTTCTGTCAGGCATACTACAAGGTAAGCCCTGCACCTTCCCAAGTGCTCCTTTAATTCCCTTCCCCTGCCCAAACTGCGGTTCTGTTTTCTGTTCCCTGCCCCATCTGTCCCACACAGAAGCTGCTCCATGCCGCTTGTGGCAAACATGCCACAGCTTGGCCACACCTACTTTCAAGTTTGCTAGCCAGTTCATGTGGGAACAGGCTATGCTTAATTGTTCATAACTAATTTCAACTCACTACCTTGCTAATCAGAACCTTTCCTCAGCTGTCGTCTGCTCATTAAGACTCAGTTTGCTCAGAGGGCTTTACCCTTCTAAAAGAAGGTAGGACGTTATTTAATTTCATGGTTGCTAGAAGTTCAGCACTGACAGCAGTTGAGTTAGGATTACCGTATAGCCGAATTTTCCCGGACAGAAACGCCCAGATGGAGATCAGAGGCTGTGGGGAGCCATGGCAATTAACGCTGTCACTTTTTCACCCCAAGCCCTCCCCTACCAATTTCCAGACCTGTGGGGCGCACTCTTCCTTTCATATAATGCACACCACAATCTTCCCCAGATGATCTGGGGGGAAATATGAAGGTAATATGCATATTATGCAATCAAATATGGTATTTATTTGGATACCAGGGAAAGATCTAGCCATTTCCTTACTGCTGGGAGAATCTACTGTATTTACCCAAACCCAATATGACTCTGAATTTAAGCTGATCCCCCCAATAATTAGATTCTATATGTGGAAAATTTGTAAATTTGCTATAATTTTGCATGTATTGAACCTAATTCTTGGAGGGTCATCCTAATTCATCCCCCCACTGCTGCAAGAGGGGAAAACAGTGACAAGGAGGGTGGGGGAGGCAGTAGGGGGGCAGATGGTAGGGGGAGGCAGGTGTAGGGGGTAATCAAGCAGCTTGACCCCTGGCTGGCCCTGGTCCCCTCTCCCCCTGCAATTCCTGACCGTTCCAGCCCTGGCTCCAGGGCCCAGAGCCTACTGGCACAGAGCAAGGGTAAGTAGCAGGGGAGGGTGGGGACATAGGGGCGTAGAGGCAGAGGGGGGACAGGCAGCAGCTGAGGCCCCTCACTGCCTTGTATCTGAATCTAAGACAAGACACTTCCCCCTACATGTTGAATTCAGGATGAGGGGAAACCTCATCCTGAATTTAAGTAAATATGGTACTTCCTAGGTGTTGACCTTCAAGAGAAGCATAGCGGGTTACAGTTAAAAATAGTAACTCTGTTGGTCAGCGATCGCTAATTCTCTCTTACTTCCCATTCATGTAATGTTTCTTGAAGCCGTCAATGTTTATACACTCTTTTTTATTGTTTACAATATGAATAACAAATTACAGAGTTAAAAGGAGGCAGGGATTTACTATTTTTCAGCCAGTCTGTGTGCATGTCCTTACCCAGTAAACTAAACCACAGCCCTTTTCAAGAAGGAGTAAATCGCCATTAGTTTACATATCACTTACTGGAGGATAAAAGCATGTACAAAGGCAGTTACTGTGGAGCAGCTGACATGCAATAAGTCCCTGGCCTCTTAAATCAGTGTAATTTGTTTGTCTGCCCACAGACCAAGCTGATTTCTGTGTTCATAACCACAGCCTAATGTAGGTTCATATAATTCTCTAAAGAAAATACTATGCTGACTGATGACAAGAGGCAGTGGATAAAATGAAAATGAACCATATAATTTAACCATTCTGCATGTTAATGGAACAACTATTAAACTACTCAAATTTAAAAAGAAAGCAGATGTAAAGAAAAATCTTACCTTAAATTTTAAGTTTATTTATTCACAAATAAGTTTCTCAAAAAACATGGCTTGATCATGTAGAATGCTTCCAGTAACTGGATCTGTAACATTAAGAAATAAACAAGTTACTTACTTATTCCCAATCCATTCATTTCTTTAAAGTGCTCTCTCCAACACATTTGGGAAGGAAGTAACTCAGGAAGTTATGAGCTTCCTTTTCTCCATGTGAGTCAGAATTTACAATGCCAAAAAGAATGGCTTGGATACAATTTAAAGAGAATGAAATTACATTTAGCCTTCCACAACACACGTGTACTTGTATTTTAAAAGTGAATGTTGGAAGAACTAGTTAAAAAGAAATATCTTGAAACCGCTTGTCCTCAAGGAGTTACTGGAGAATAAGCTACAGTGTGATTTTAAAGCTTTATAGATATTATTCTATACTAAATCTCTATGTAAACTTTTTCTGCAATGAAAAAGTTTAGGTACTGTTAGGGAGGAACACCTGTTCAGCAAACAAGCTTTTCTCGGTTATTTTCCCCTGAAAACAAGCACTTACTGAGATTATGGTTTCAGGAAAATAACAATGCCTCAGGGGCTAGAATAGCTGTTGTTTTCTGTGAAAGACAGAGGAAACAGAGTGCATTATATTGAAAACAGGGAAAAAAATCTTCTTTGCTAAAGCAAAACTAAAATTGGCATGCAAGTTTGAATCAGAGCATGCACATAAATATGTTATAACTTAGGCAGACAAGGTTCATTGGGTAAATCCAATACCTTTTATTAGACCAACTCAAATACTTGGAAAAATTCCTCCTTGCAAGCTTTCAGGTACAAACACCCTTCTTCAAGCAGAGGAAGTGTCACTTAGTTAAATCTTAAAACTTAGTATTTTCTGCTAGGGAAGTAACATCTCTTCAAACACTGCTAAAATTACAATGAGATGTTTTTGCTGTTCTCCTCAAACACAGCAATAAGAAAGGACAAGCCTGAAGGGTCCTGCAGTATCAAAAGGCTCTCAGGTGTACCGTGCACACAGAAAACCAACTCTTTAAAAACACATTTCCGTACCCTTGCCTTTAGTCTCAGTCCTAGAGTTCCTGCACTCTACACCAACATACAAATAAATAAATAAATGAACAAACAAACGGCAGAAAGTCACTGTTCTACATTTTAGTCATCTAAGTTTGAGCCTGATTTGTATTTCACTTTAGAAAGGATCGGGATTGTGTTGATTTACTTCAGTGGCCTTCCTTTACTGTAACTGTATGGCCAAATTCTCCTAGCATTGATACTGCTTATGGTGATCATTTGCAGGTATAAGTTATACCATTTCCTCAAAGCAAATAAACTATATTGGCAAAAGGCATATACCAAGGAAACAGGTTAGATCTGGCACACACAGCTACTGGATTCTGGCCTACAGAATGGGAGCTTCAGGGGAATTTAGTAGCAAGAGCCTTTGCTTGTACCATGCTGCAGTGTGGCTGGATGCTTTGCTCATGCCACGTCCCAGCTGGGCAGCAGAGAGAAGCAGCACCCTCCAATTGTCTGCCAGCATCATAGTGTCCCACTCTCCACCTTATCCCTCTGTCCAATGAGGGGAAAGGAGGGGCAGGGCAGGGATCCAACTAGTGCTTTCCTGTGTGTTTGGTTCTGCATGGGACTAAAACCCAAAGTATGGAGCGCTTCAGGACTTGGAGCATGTGCGCCCACACCCCTGACAGACAGAATTTTCTCTAATTCCAGGATTTTCACCAGCATAGCTAACTGGTGAGGCAAGAGATGTGATTTGTCTCCTTCCATAGTTTGAAGTAGCCCAGAGTAGACCAGAGATGTTAGCAAAAGCATCCTCCCTCACCCTTCAGAGTCTAGGGTCTACGTTTAGATCTGTCTGATTGGAGCTTTAATCCTTTTAAAGGTCAGGAGATAGCCCAAGATACCACTGTGCCTTAACTAAACTTTGAGTACTGATCAGAGTAAAAGCAATGTATACGTATAGAGCTATTTGTGCATGGGAAAAAGAATAAGCTACACCAACATAAGCCAGTTTAATGCTAGTATAACTGCATTCACATTAAAGTTTGTACTAGTGCAACTGTATGATAATATTTTTTCTTTAACACACAACTCTAATTGAAACATTTACACTAACTTGACTTTCAAATACAAACCCAACCTATGGCAAAGCAGCAAGAATGGGTAATTAATAGAGGTGCACTGATATATTGGTTCATATCATATCAGCACTGATAAAAAGAAAACTGATGTTATTGGCAAGGAGCTTGTTTGGCTGATGTGGCCGATAATGTCACCAATAAATGCCACATACACGCGCACAGCCGCAGCATGCACACAGCCAGGAGTGCAGCCGGGAAGCCTAGAAACCAACGACCGGGTGGTAAGTCTGTTAGGGGGAAGGGGCATGGGGGAACGAAGGAGTATGCAGGGGGCAGATAGAAGCCCCCATGGTGAGGGAGGGAATGGGGTTGGGCAGGGGCAGGCACTGCCCAGTTGGGGCGTGGGATGGAGCTGGCAGCTTGTCCGGGGGGTGCGGGCAGCTTCTGCTGCTGCATGCACCCCCAGGGGTAGCATGGGGGCATGCACCCCCTCCCCCCCAATCTGTGCATGGGGCGAGGGTGGACTGCCCACCGCACACTCGAGGCTGAGGCCGTTCCAGCCTCTTCCCTGCAGCTCCGCTTGGGCCAGACAGGGAGGGGTGGGGCAGGCGGTGACGGTGCTGGGAAGCGGGGTTAGAACCACCCCAGAATTTGCTGTTGCCTCTCAGTAGCCCCACATTTTACATTGTGGAAACTGAGATCCTTAGTACACAAGTTTTTTTTCATTTTGAACATTATACAACTGTTCATAGATCTTCGCGCATTAGTTTTCAACAGGATTTGTTGCTGCTGTCATAACCATCTACTTTTCACTTACCAAAGTGATAACTGAAGCTAAATGGAGCCTAAAAATGGAGAATCATTGTTTATTCATCCTATTGTCCTCATTTCCTGGAATGTGGCCAGAGCAGGAAATTGAACTGCCCAAAGCTCACTCAGCAAGTTATGTGCCCTGAATCCCTAATTAGTCTACAGTGTGAACTTACTTCATGTTTAACATCCTTAACCCTACTGGAAAATGCATAAGTACACAAGAGGCACATAATTCTTGAAATTCCCATACAACATGCAACCTTACCTTCTCTGTGATTTTTAAGCCAACTCTGTTAAATTACTGCATGTAGATCACTAGCTCATACAGCAGGGGTCAGCAACATTTTTGGACGTGCCAAAAAACACCTGCAGCCTCAACTTGGAAGATGTTGGTGTGCCAGGGGCGGATGGCAGGGGAACTGCGAGGGGTCTGATCCTTGTGGCAGCACAGCCCAGGCCCCTTCCCCGCTGTCTGCCCTGAGACATGTGTGCCAAGCAAAATGCCTTCCTGTGCCAACTCCTGTCATACAGTGTTTTTGGTTTGAGTACTGGTGATGCAAGCTTTATTAAAAAGGAAACATCCTCTGGAGTAGAAAAATAGTCACACAGATTGTATTTTAAATCCCTGAGTCAATACATTTGCAGGATCCTATACATGATATGCTGTAGATTAGGGATGGATCTCAGTTTTGTAGCAAAAATGAATATCCCAGTGACTTCACATTACGATCCTCAAAATGAAAGTGGTTAAGCGCACAAGGCATGAAGAAAATACTCATGCAGACTTACTGAGATTACATGGCTAAATTCCAATATTCTCTCATTCTGTTTTCAGAATATAAAAGAGATCTGCTCACCAAAAACAAGAACCCCCTTGAGCTCATATGTCTTCTTCCTACCTACTTTACATGTTGCAAAGAAATGGGAAACATGAACAAACACTTCAGTTTTAGCTATTCCTCTCTCCAAACACGCTGCCTTAGCTCAGGCAAGACAGACTGCAACATCCCAGGGTTCTCTGGCACCTGGATTGAGTTCATTTTCCTCCCTTTTTAAAAGTACTGCAGGAGAAACTACATGAATGACTAAAGTTGGGGATAAGTAGGTGCCAACTTCAAGGTCATGCAAAATGCACAAACAAAACCCCACGTAGCAGATACCTTCTCTTTTCTGCTCAACTCTTAAGCTGTTTAAGAAGTGAACCCCTTTCCTTCGCAATTCAGGACCTGCTTCAGGACTGTTCACTCCTCCTACTAGTACTCTTCCTCTTCTGTAATGGGTAAGATGCATTTAATCATGGATCATTCATAATAACCCTGTATAATTCAATTAAACTCTTCTGAACAAATTGGAGTAGTCACACCTGCCACATATTTAGGTCTGATGGCCCACATGCTGCAATAGGCCTTTAGCAGCACTGCAGACGTTGCAACATAATTAGAAGATTGCCCCTATAGTGAATAATATCTAATGGTTTGCATGCATGAATTTAGAATGCAAACCATTCTGTTCCATAACAAAGAAAAAGAACTTCTGAATTAGCAACGCTTTTTTTCTTCTTAAAGAGCAAGTGCACAAAAGAAATAGCTATGTGGTCAGCCAGGACAGAGGGATTAACTGGAATATGTGGATAGATCAAAGCACTGGCAAAATCTAACTTTACCAGATAAGAAAGTTACTTGTTAATTTAGTGACTTACATCCCTATTAGGAAGGACAGAGTTCTCTACACTTCAGTTTGGGTGTAAACAAATACAGATAAGTGATATAAACGATATAGTTCAAAGATGTCTCCTTTAGCTAAGGCACAAAGCTAAGGCTCTATGAAGACTCTTGTACCTTGATTTTCCCATTTTTATACATGAAGATAATACTGAATTACCTGCCACTAGTGCTGTAAGGTTATGTTTATAAAGCACTTTGAGAAACTTTGCTGACAGGCTGTATAGCAATTCAAACTTAAACCCATTAAATTTCTTAGTATTTCATACTCTTCTTTAGACAAAAGCTGCAATTTGGCTCACAACACTGGTGGCAAAGAAATAAATAAATAAAAAATGCTTGAGCAGAAGAAGACATCAAAAAGAATACCTGAAAGCTGCAACTACTCTGCAGCTGGCTGTTTTATTTAATAAATACATAAATAAGTAAGTACAAAAATAAATAAATGGTTACTGGAAATAGCCGTATCTCAGGAACACTGAGCTAAATGCCATGCAAATGCACTTAATCCCAGAGGTAAACAAGATGAATAGAGCAGCACAATGGTGCCCAACCTTTCACCCCCACTGGCCCTACCCCATGCACCTGGATCCAGTTGCATACCACGCAACCTAGTGCGCAGGATATTATCTAGCACATACGGCTCCCCACAGGTCCAGAAGTTTGGCGGCAGGGAAGCTGTGATCAATGCCGCCACCACACCCCAACCTAATTTCCAGACCCACTGGGAGTCTCACAGGTGAGATGACATGGCTCTGTGGGCTGGAAATAAAGCACCAATAGGGTAGCATATATTTTTCTTTTGGAATCAATACAAATATTTGACACATTCTAGCAACGTGACTGACATTTATCATATGAAGAGATGGTTGGCCCTGTAGCAGACAGAAGGCAGGGTAAGAGATGAACATTATAAACTAACTAAACTGCAGTTGCATAAGCTTTTGTGAGCCTGAGCTTACA